TCCTGCATCCCATTTGGCTTTTGTACACACCAATGGGTGTTGGAGCCTAGCTCAGCCCCAAGGACCCTACTATCAAGCCACCCTCATGTTGGTGGGTGCCACCACCTGTCTAGCTAGGTCTGCCCCTAGCCCTGGTTCTCATGCTCACCAGTGGGAGCTACAGCACATCAGACATGTGCCCACAGTTTCCTACTAGGCCCATTCCCAGCCCTGGATCTTGCACTTTCCAGGTGGTTTTGTAGTCTACTAGCTTCACAGGACTTGCCCCCATTCCCAGCTCTTGCCAGCTGCTGTTGTGGCAAGGCCTGATCAGCCTGCACTTACTCTGGCTCATGCACGTACCAGTGATATGGTCACTTAGCACAGCCTGGCTCTCCCCCTAACTCAGCTCACATGCAGGCCAATGGGCTGTAGCCCTGCTCAGCATGGTCAGTCCCCAGTCCCAGATGTCATGCTCACCAGCAGGAGTGAAGACCCAACAGGGGAGCCCTTGCAGCTTGACCTGGTTCACCATTCCTCCTACGTCTTATTTTTGCTGGTAGATACTGTGGCCCAGTCTGGCATGGCTCACCTTACCTTGGCCTTCACCAGTGGGTGCTACAATTTGGCTTGGCCTGGGCTGCCCCTAGTTCCAGCTCATACTGGTGAGTGCTACAGCCTAACCCAGCCCACCCAGCCCCCAGCCCCAGCCAGAATGTGAACGAGCTAGTGCTATGGCTCAACCTGGCATGTTATGCATCTTGTCTTGGTTCTCAGATCTGCCGGTGGGTGTTACTACCTGGCCCAGCCTGGCCCGCCTCCATATCTCTGTTGCACGTGTATGCCAATGGATAGTGTAACCTGGCCTGGGCTGGCTCCCAGCCTTGGCTCTTGTGCTTATCTGCAGGGACTGTGTCCTGATAGAGAAGTTCAAGCTCCTCCATCAGGTTACTACCCAGTGGCAGATTTCGTGCACACTGGTGAGTTCTTAGACTAGCCTAACTTGGCCCACACCTATTCTGAAACTTACTGTTGGGTACTACAGCCCACCCCTGCCAGGTCTACCCCCCCTAGATTTCCCTCTTACATTGTTCATCAGGTGCCGAGACATAGCCCAGCCTATCCTATATCCACTCTGGCTCTTGCAAGCACCAATATGTGCTGGAGCCTAGCCTAGCCTGGCATACCCCAGACCCAGTCCACAGCCATGGCGAGGGATACTACAGCCAGGTCCAGCCCAGTTTGCCATCCCCATCGCAGCTGTCATGCTCCCTAGCGGGAACCAAGCCGAGCTGGGTGTCTCTAGCTCACCAAGCAGGCCTGCCCCCAGCCACAGATCTTGCATGTGCTGGAGGCTGCTGTGAATCAGGCTGGCATAACCCATCACCCATCTTGGCTTTCACCATCAATGCTGCAGCCTGACCTGGCCTGGCCAAAGGCAAGCCCAACTTTCACTGGTGGATTCTACAGCCTAGCCTTGCCCAAGCCTTCCTCATCCCTGGCCTTCATGCAGACCAGTAAATGTGATAGTCTAGCCTAGGCCAGCATGGCCTGTACCCCATCCTGGATTCTCTGCATGCCACTTTGCTACAGTTCGATTCAGTCCTGCCTGGTCCACCTGCTACTCCATCCCCCCAGAGCCAACCTACATACCTGCTGACAAGTGAAGCCACCCTGCCCAGCCTGACCAACACCCAGCTGACTCACATGTTCACCAATGGGAGCTGTGGCCCACCAGGGGAGTTCCCCAAGTTCCCCCATCAAGTCCACACCCAGACTTAGATCCTATGCATGCCAGCAGATATTAGGCCCTTATCTGACACAATCTGCCCTCCAGGGTCAGCCTTTGTGTGTGCTGGTGGATATTGCGGTCTCGTCTGCCCACATCCAATTTCGGGGTGTACCTGTGGGTGCTGCAGCCTAGACCTGCCTGGCCTCTTCCCAACCTCAATACTCATGCTGGTAAGTGCTGCAGCCTAGCCCAGACCAGCTAGCCCCTAGTCCTGGCAAAGACCATGGTGAGTTCCATGGTAATCCCTGGCTCAACTCATCACCACTCCCAGCCCTCAAGCAAACCAGCTCTTGTGGCAGTCCCACAAGGATGCACTCACAAATCCCCTACGGAATCTGCTCCCAGACCCAGCTCTTATGCATGCTAGTTGGTGCCATGATCCAGGATGACATGATCCACCCCCTGCCCTGATACTCACTGGTGGGTACTTTGCTCGAGCCTTGGCATGCATCCCTTGCTTTCAAGTGTGCTGGTAGATGATGCTTGATACCACCAAGCCCACCTCAGGTCTCCCACGTGGGTGGGTGTATTGGTCTGGCCCTGAAAGTTCCTCCAGCTTCTGTCCTCTGAATCACCTGATTTCATCCCCTCATTTACCTGCAAGTGTAGTAGTCTGACTGGTGGAGGTCCCTCAGAAGTCACTCCTCCTGTCACATTCTCCCTCAGCATTCCCTCTCTCACACAACTCCAGACCCCCTTCCTGAGCATCCACAGTCCCCCATGACTGTGAGCGGGTGGATCCTCAGGCCTGGCCCTCCAGCGGCGTGTCATGCTACCTGGGAGCCTTGCCCATCTTCCCAGGTCCTGCTTGGGCATGGGTCCCTAGACCCCTTCTGCTGGTGTGCTGGCATCTACCCCTCACATATCGTTACCATAAAAAAAAAAAAAAAAGAATAGGAACTATGCTGGCACACTGGTACACTGGTATAATTAACACAAATTGGCATTAACCAGGCCCAGGATGCCTGCCAGCTATTATTTGCTTTTCCCCCAGCAGTGTGACACCTGCCTAGGTACAAGGCAACCTAGGCAGTTGCCTACAGCGGGGGTGGGGGGGGAAATAAATATTTTTTTTAATTAATTTTTTTTAAAGATTCTTTTTTCAAAAAGAATCACTCATTCTCCTTATCCATGCCAGCTTTCCCTTGTCACCACAGCTATCGTTGAGAAATAACTAGCAGGTAGCCTCAACAATTTAGACATAATCAGTAACATCCTGGGAATTATTTGGTACATAGCTCCCTGGAGTACATTTTTTTTTCCGAAGGCCTTCGTTTGTGGTAGTTGATTTCCAGGTGCTAATAGGCTACCATTACTGGTTTCCGACTATCAGTGTGATATCCTCTTGCTTTGAGATTTTGAGTTTGCTCTTGCTGTCTGGTAACACCCAGTAGCCTATAGTTTCAAGCATCTCTAGATACCATCTTCCTGTCAAGTATTCTAAGATACTTCGTGTGCATATATTCTTCTTGTTTTAAAATTGGGGCCAGCTTTGTGGCATAGCATGTTATAGCACAGTTTGCAACATAGAATCCCATATGGGTGACTGTCTGAGTCCCGGCTGCTCCACTTCCAGCTCCACCCCCTGCTAATGCACCCAAGAAAGCAGTGAAAGCTGACCCAACTGTGTTTGAACCCGTGCATGTGGGAGACCCAGAAGAAGCTCCTGGCCCGGCCCTTGTCATTGTAGCCATGTGGGGAGTGAACCAGAGAAAGCCCTCTCTTTGTCTCTCCTTCTCTCTCTAACTCTGCTTTTCAAATATACAAAAATGAATTTTTAAAAAATCTTACTTATATTCATTTCATTTGTTTGAAAAGGAGGCAGGTTGCTCAACAGAGTGCCCTTGCCCATTACTTCACGTCCCAAGTGTGTGCCGCAGCTGCCACCTTGGTCTTCTGTGCAGGTGGTAGGAATCAGCCAGCCACTGCCTGGTGCCACCCAAGGGGCATGTCAGCAGGAAGCTGGGACTGGAACCCAGTCACTGATAAGGGATGCAGCTATCCCAGGCAATGTCATAACCATTGCATCAGATGCCTGCCCCTTGAATATCTCAGTTGTCATGTTGAAACTAAGAAAGGAAACTACAGTACATTGGTATCTGTTAAAAAGCTAAGCTAACTAAGATTTCAACCCAGGTTGCTTTTTCAGGTTTCTAGCAAAATGTCCAACTGTGTGAGTTTGGCTCGGGGATGATTGAGACTTGCCACCTTAGAGGCCATAGTTTTTTAGGAAGGGAAGGCCTTGAGAACAAGCAGCAGTTGGTTCCTAAGGGTTGTGATTTCAAGATGGGTGAGAAGTTCCCAGAGCAGGGAAAGAGCCTGTAGGACCTTCTGAGTGCACTCAAAGAGCGTGATGTGGAGAGGACAGCAGGAGGAACCCGAGGTGGGAGTGGCCATTTGGCCTGGGGGGTTAGGCGGCTGCTCAGAATGCCCTGTATCTCATGCTGAAGTCCTATTCTTCTGTGTCTAAAGCAGCTTCCTGTTCATGTCTACCTTGGGAGGCAGCAAGTGGTGCTCTTAAGCACCTGAGTCTTGGGCCCACGATGTCAGCCTAGTGGCTAAATCCTTGCCTTGCATCTGCTGGGATTACATGTGGATGCTGGCTCACATCCTGGCTGCTCCACTTCCCATCCAGCTCCCTGCTTGTGGCCTGGGAAACAGTCAAGGATAGTCCAAAGCCTTGGGGCCCTGCACCCATATGGGAGACTTGAAGGAACCTCTTGACTCCTGCCTTCGGATCAGCTCAGCTCAAGCCATTGTGGCTACTTGGGGAATGAACCAGTGGATGGAAGATCTTTCTATCTCTCCTTTTCTCTGTAAGTCTGCCTTTCCAATAAAAATAAACAAATCCTTTTTTGAAGAAGAAGTATGAACATGGACTGAAACAAACTATTTGCCCCTTTGTATTAAAATCTTATTTGCACACATCCCACCGATGTTAACATTGTTCTGATTTTCTCCCATTTCCCATCACCTCAACACCAGTCCACTGTCCACATTATTACTGGTGTCTCTGCCTATCTCCCTAGAGTACAGAGTTGACTGTAGGCAGACCTGGCTCCTGAGTGTTTGGAAGGAGGTTCATTAGGGCAACATTTCTGCCAAGTATCTCTTGGTGTCATTTGGAAGTGTGTGGGAGAAACATGTTTGATGGCACCTACTCCAGAGGCCTCTGGAAGGCTGTCATGGCCACGTACCTCTCTGAGCAGAGCAGCCACAAGGTGGGGGCTGGTTCTTCCATGTTGGTTTCCATGGAGGACAAGACAAGTTCTCATGAGGCTTCTAATACCCAGGGGAGTGTTGACACTAGAAATGCAAAGATAGGAAAAGATACAAAAACATAAAAAAAGGAAAATATATATAAATAACAACTTCGTTAAAAAAATCCACTTATTTCAAATACATTCAGCATTCTGGTTGGCACATAAAAATAGAATGATGAAAGAAGATTTGGTGGGAGTAATTGTTTGGGGGAAAAATCAATTTAACATCATTTTGCTTTCAATTTTTGCTGCCAGGAAGGCGCATGCTGCATCCTCTAATTCAAACATAAGTGTCTCCAGAAACCCTTGGATCACATATTACAAAACCCCATCTGTTTTACCCTCTCACAATTAGCATTTTAGCTTAATTCACTTTTAAATTTTCTGACATTAGCTTGATTCCCCCTCCCTCTTTGTCATCTAAATTCACAACTGGCACTTCTTTGATTTGGATTCAGCTTGAAAAATAATTTTTAGCTATTTTAAATCCTTTTTGGTAGTAAGCAGGGTATAAATAAATTTTGAAACATAATGATGGCGTTATAGATGCACAAGAATGTTTGTTACAGCTTTGTTGGCCACAGCAAAAAAAATAAAAACACGTGCCTTCAGATTGTGAGTGGAGAAAGCAGTGATTGCAACACTACTGACAATTGTTAGGAATAATAAGTAATGGAATATGTATGTATGTCTACTGATAAGGAAGGCTGTATTAAGTGGGACAACTAGAAAAGAGTAAACAGTTTTATTTATATAAAAATAAAAGCTTGGGAGAAGTTGTATAAGGGCACAGAGAGCGGACTGCAAGGAAGGCAGGAAGTGAGGAACTGGATCGCCTCTCGAAAGGGATGGCGAGAGAGGCGAGGGCGGGACAGCGACATGTGACTTTCTGTAGGTTTCCGGTGCACTGGAACCCTTTCTCCAAAAGAATGTGTGCATTCATGTTGTTCTGGCAAATAACACCATGTAAGGCTCATCGGAAAATTGTGAAACCATTTCTGTTCCTCTTTGGAGTTGTCTCACATACATATTTAAGGAAAGAAGGAGGGTGTGTGGGGCTGTGGTCCCAAATCTGAGCCTCCAGAGTTGAGCCTTGCCCCTCTGCTGGTCCAGCTTCCTGGTAGCATGCACCTTGGGAGGTGCCACCTGACAATGTAGGCACTGGGTCCTGTCACCCTTGGGACCCCTGGCCTGGACCGGCCCTAACTCCCTCACAGGCACTTGGAGAATGAATCAGCACGTGGAAAATCTCTCAGACAATTCGCCTTTCAAATAAAAAGACAAAACATTTTTTTCTTCTTTAAAAGGGATAGAAATGAGAAAACACATATATAAAAAAAATCCATTAGAAGTGAAGATGATAATGAGTGTGTACCCTAGCAGGCAGACAGAGGATGTATTCAGGTAGGCTGCTGTAGAGAGGCAACGTGCTCGCATACTTGTGTATGTAAAATTCTCTTACTTTTAGAGAGGACATTTTCATCATTCCATCATTAACTGCTATTGTCGTATGGCAGGCAATGTCTGGGATTACATTTATCAACAAATTTAATCTTAAGAAATCCCAACGAGGAGTATTCTGTGGTCATTCCCATTTTATAAATGAGAAACTGAAGCGAAGCCTGCCCAGCTCCCAGGTGATGCAGCTGGGGTTGTGAGTCCAGCATTCACACATGTGATCACAGCTCACACGTGCCAGGCAGAATGCACACGTGCACCCTGAGATGGGCGCCTGACTGGGGTGTCTAGGAGCATGGTCCTGACTCCCTGCTCCGGATTGGCAGTGCCATCACTTGGGCAAGTCCATGCCTCCTTTGGCAGTTTTCCCGCTTTGATGCAGGCAGCTTTTCTTTTTAAAGATTTATTTTTATTATTTTTTCATTGGAAAGGCGGATATACAGAGAGGAGAGACAGAGAGGAAGATCTTCCGTCCGATGATTCACTCCCCAAGTGAGCGCAACGGGCCGATACTATGCCGATCCGAAGCCAGGAGCCTCTTCCGGGTCTCCCACGCGGGTGCAGGGTCCCAAAGCTTTGGGCCGTCCTCGACTGCTTTCCCAGGCCACAGGCAGGGAGCTGGAAGGGAAGTGGGGCTGCCGGGATTAGAACCAATGCCCATATGGGATCCCGGGCGTGCAAGGCAAGGACCTTAACCACTTGCGCCACTGCGCCGGGCCCTAAATACTTTTAAGAGTGAGGTTCCCCCCCCCCTTCCCATTTAAAGATCTATTTTACTTATCTGACAGGTAAGAGTGACAGAGAGAAGGAGAGAGAGAGGAAAGGTCTTACAATGAACTGCTCACTTCTCAAATGGCCAACATCTTCTCCTACATGGGTGGTAGGGGCCTAAGAACTGGGGCTGTCTTCTGTTGCCTTCCCAGGTGCATTAGCAGGAAGCTGGGTTAGAAGTGCAGCAGCAAAAGAATCTCTAATATGTAATTAGAAAACATGCTAAGGAATATGTTCCAACGTATGTGATACTCAAAGACAGAGTAATGCTGTGGTGTGTGCCGCACAAGGCGTCATAGCACCTGCATTTCTCCGAAGGATAACTAATCTGTGGAGAAGAGATGAAGAAACCTTCTGGGAACAGCACATGCAAAGGCCTGGGTGCGAGAACGCTTGGCTTCTGTAAGCCAAAGCAAGCAGAGGGAATGTGGAAGAGTAAGTGTGAGGTTAGATCCAGGGCGGGCAGTAATCAAATCCACAGGCCTACACAGCTACATATAGGATTTTGTTCTTTATCTGAAGAATAATAGGAAACCAGTGAAATGCGTCAGTCAGTGTGACCTGGGCAAACTTATGGGCTCCCTGAATAGGATCTGGATTTGGGATGAGACAACAGGAGGATGCAGGGGATCACGGCTGTAGACCACTCACCCAGGTAACACGGTACAGCATTCTCAATAGAGAAGCACCAGAGACAGTTACGGTGAACTTGTCCATTGATTAACAACCAAGTACAAGCTTATGTAGGCTGGGTCCAGGGCAACAAGCCTCAGGGTAGTAACAATATTTCTTTTGGATATAAACATCTGTTTCATATTGTAAGCCTAGCCACCAGTACAACTGGCATATACTTTGCCAGGTGGCACTGTAACCTACCACAACTTACGCAACTCACCCGCACCCTGAGTGTTTATTATAAGACTATCCTCACAAATTTACCACAAGATGGGTATGGGCTGGGGTGGGCAGGAGGAGGACGTGACCAAGTTACTGGAAAGTACCCAAATTACCAGAAGAGGCTGGGGGTTGGGGTGGGGGAATACCCAGAGGGCTCTGGCCTGCTGCCAACTGCATGGGTCCGCGGGGGTCCCAAGGTGCGGTAGAGACAGAAGGGTCTCAGGCATCGGCTGAACCCAAGGGAGGTCTTGAGTCTCCAGACATGCACTGAAACCACACTCCTGCTGCCCCTCACATAGGCTAGGTAAGCTGAGACCCATCCTGGCACTTGCTTGCCCACAGGAGAGACTTTCAAGGGTGCTGCGTAGGGCCCAGCACAGTAGCCTAGTGGCTAAAGTTCTTATCTTGCATCTGCCAGGATCGCATATGGGTGCCAGTTTGTGCCCTGAATGCTCCACTTCCCATCCAGCTCCTTGCTTGTGGCTTGGAAAAGCAGTAGAACGTGACCCAAAGCCTTGGGATCCTGCACCTATGGGAAGAACTGAAAAAGTTTCAGGCTTCTGGCTTTGGACTGGCTCAGCTCCGGCCATTGCAGTCATTTGGAGAGTGAACCAGTGGATAGAAGATCTTTATCTCTGTGTTTCCTCTTTGTAAACCTGAATTTCCAATAAAAAAAAGGGGGGGGGGTGCTGCGTGACTAGATTATTATTATCATTATCACTATTATTAGTATGGTATTTGTAAGACAGATTTAACAAAGAAGCAGAGACAGGGAGACAAAAAGATCTTTTATCTTCTGGTTCACTTCCAGAAGCCGTAATGGCTGGAGCTGAGGTTGATCCAAAGCCAGGAGTTTCTTCTAGGTTTCCCATGTGGGTCCTAAGGCTTTGGACCATCTTCCACTGCTTTTCAAGGCCATAAGCACAGAAGTGAATGGGAAGTGGAGCAGCCAGGACATAAACTGGTGTCCATGTGGGATGTCAGCACTAGAAGGTGAGCGTTGAGCCACAGTGCGGGTCCTGACCAGGTTCCTATTTAGACCCAGTCAAGGGCTTCTTCCCATGTGGGCCCTTTGCCAGGGCTGCTCCCTCTGTCAGGAATGCTCTAGCCTGATATTTAAACATGGGCTGCTTGATGCTGGCCTAAAAAGCTGCCTCCTCCTGCCCAGACACACTGTCTGTGTTAAGTTCCCCTCTCATTCAGTTGTCCACAATGTCTGGAGCTGCGTTGATTCAAAGCCAGGAGCTTGGGGCTTTTTCAGGGTCTCCCAAGCAGGCCATACTGGAGCACCTGAATTTGATGCTGGTCTCTGCTTCCTGATTTCAGCTTCTTGTTAATGTGGACCCTGAGTGGCCATGGTGACGGGAGACCAGCTCCTGGCTGAAATTCTCTGTCTCTGTCTTACAAAAATCATAGAAAACAAGAAACCCAGTCACGTCTCCACGGCTCAGAGTGGAACTCAGTTGATTCTGGAGTTGTGCTCCCCTTCTGCAGTCAACTGAATAAAACCTTTACCAAATGTCCATTTTTAAAAAGGCTTATTTATTTTAAAGCTCATGCTATAAAGAGAAGGAGAAAGAGAGAAGTTTCCATCTGCTGGTTCCTTCCGCAAGTGCCCACAGTGGCAGGGGCTGCTCCAGGCCACAGCCAAGAGTCAGGAGATTCTTCCAGATCTCCCATGTGGGTGCAGAATTTGGAGTACTTTGGCCATTCTCTGCTGCTTCCTAGGGACATTAATAGGGAGCTGGATATGAAGTGGAGCAGCTGGGACAAGAACCAGTAACCAAAAGGGATTTTAGTATTACAGGTGGTGGTTTAACTTGCTATGCTACAACTCCAACCTCATCTTTCCTTTTTTTTTTTTTTTTTTTTAATGTGTTTGCTTGTTTATTTGGAAGGTAATATTAGAGAAAGATA